TGCATTGTATAATGAAGCCTGTTTTACAGGACAATCGAAATGGTGCCACGCTTCACCGACTTTTAGTTTTCTACTGTACGGTATTCGCCAGTTTTCTTAACGTCGACTTGAGACTTTATAATTCACCCCCAAATACACGGTGACATTTATTTTTTTATTTCTGTAAATGATAGTAACTTATTACCACAAATGGCAGAATATCCATATCGCATGCTATGCATAACCGATTGTATTACGCATCGTATGAGACGAATATTCATGTGGAGCTCATTTCTGTAGAGTTGACCTAATTTGTGGTAGAGGCATCTTGCAGTGATTATGGCTGCATGGACAGCCCTGCTTGATTGGCAATACCTCGCTCTCAAAAAGTACCATCGTGATAAAGCTACATAACCATGTTGTGTCCTATGTTTAGTGTCTAGAACCGGAGACTTTTTACTTGTAACGAGGCATTCCATCTTACATCATAGCATCTGCATTTTGTTTGTTGGTCTACGTGCTACAGCATCCACTTACTGTCGAGTCACTGTCTGCTGTCGCGAAATATTAAATGCATAAATACAAGATGTCTATGGGCCCCGGCATCCATTTACCATTACATGGAATGCGTGCTCGTTTGTCATCCTTTGTGTATATATACATACATACAAAATTAACAATTTTATGGGTGCGGGTGAAGAACGAACCTGGATCGCTAGCGTACTGTAAAATTTTATGACAAACTCCTAGCCCATGAGTATGACCCCTATCTTAACACTTTCACTGTCCGTTTTACAGACCCAATAGTAAGACAATAGCAATAACCTATATGTAGTGCATGGGACAGCGAAACGGTTAATCTTCCCGTAAACTTCCACTGCTGAACATGGAAGGATCTCTCCCGATGTAGGGAGGATTTTCCTTGAGCGTCGCGCTTGGCATAGGACTGACGATCGCGAAACCAGACGTGAGCACCTCTGGCAATATTGCCTGGAGCCGGTATGGATATTTTACATCTGAAGTAAACGAGGTGGTTATACCGGCATCTGTCGGAAGCAATCAGATTTTCTGGCAAACCCATAGTCGCCTCTTACGAAACCCACGGGACAAAATGTGTTGATGAATTCTCTTATCCCTCACTTACACGCCAACTTCGTCTGTACTGTGTGTATAACACTAGTTCTGTGTGGAATTCGAAACAGCGATTATTAGATTAATGTAATTATAACATGGTCAGAAGAACCATTCTTTCCCACCAAAAAAGAAAATGAGAGACATTATTCGGAGTAATTGGCTAAAATACTTTATATCTAGCAACATTATTTAGTATAATTATGTAAAATATTACAATTTCTCTATATCTCCCTGGGTTAACTGATAGAGAATGCCATAAGGCATAAACTCCGCCCATTGTTAACCGTTTAAGATGTCTTGCAATAAAGATGCAATGACTTACCATAAGTAAAAAGTTTAACTTCGACAAATATAACTTTTCAGAAACTTCTGAGAAGATTAAATCAAATTCTACTGATTGTAACATAAACGATGTTCGTGAAGAAAACCTCGATTTTGAAGGCTCTACTATTAAATTAAACCCTAAAATGAAAAAAGATAATCAACCAATTAATAAAAAAGGAAAGGATCCTGCAAAGTTAATGAGAAAGAAAATTTTGAAAGAAAAGGGTGTAAATATAGTTAAGAAAAAAACATCTGGTACATCAACTAAATACATTTTTGAATGTGATGATTGTAGTAAAAAAATTTCAACAAAAGACATTCTCGCCAAACACATTTCATACAGTCATAATACGCAAAACAACTCTGACACCACTGCAGTTCGGACACAAGTAGAACTAACTCTAGTACTACAACAAAAAGAAATATTTAATTGTGATAGTTGCGAATTTAAAACATCTCAAAAACGTTACATTTTGGCACATCTTAAAGCGCACGTCGCTAAACGAATATACTGTTGTAATACTTGTGAATATAAATGTATTAGAAAAGTGACTTACAAACACATATGAAAATACATTCCGGAGAAAAACCTTTTTCGTGTAATATCTGTGAACATAGATTTATTACAAAAAGTGGTATCCAAAGACATATAGGTTTTTCACCTATGTGTATTTTCACACATAGGTGAAAAACCTATTTCGTGTAATATCTGTGAATATAAATCTATTACAAAAAGTAGTTTGCAAACACATATGAAAATACACACCGCTAAGAAACCTTTTTCGTGTAATATCTGTGAATATAAATGTTTTACAAAAATTCGTTTGCAAACCCATATGAATATACACACTGGTGAAAAACCTTTTTCGTGAGCTCTCTGGTAAAATATGTACAATATTATGTAAACGTTTTTTATACAAATATAACAGTGTACCAAATAAAATCTATTTTTTGTGAATTTCTTATGTAATTATAGAACGAGTAGAAAAACCTTTACGTGCCTTAAGTGCTGATTAATACTGCGTTTATTCTGAAAAAGCTAATTAAAGAACCAAAAAAAATGGAACCTTGAAATAAATACCGAGTGTTAGGTTAGTGGAAACACCTTAATGCTTTTATTGTATTTAAATGATAGTTTATGTTTTTTTTTTCTTTCGCTTCGTCGTTTATCGTCACCGTTACAGCCTTTAAAAGTCCTTTGCACAACATAGGCTTTCCCCATGGATTGCGTCATATTTGCCATAGTTGCCATGCACGTGGGTTGGCAATCGCGGTATTTTATTATTTTCAGTTATAATCAGACTGATGCTGTGTGGTCGTGTCTATTTACACGTGGTAGAGCCACGCTGCAGATATATTATGATTGTAGCCCTAATGGATCGGCTCGAACGGGATGGTACCACGCTCTTACAGTATAGCAGCTTTCGTGAGAAAATAGTGCTTCGTATGGTGAATGTAGAGTTATTCTATTTAAAAAAAAGTCAACGATTATTTCAGATCCACATCGGCTTGAACTTGGTTTTAAAAATATTTAAGAACTGACTTCATTGAAAGACACCACAAAAAATTTCAATTAGTTAATAGATGAGTCATCACTGTCACCGCGTGATATTTATAAAAAAATCTCGATTTTCGAGAAAAAAATCATCAACAATAGTAAAAATACTTAAAACGGCCTTTACTATTTTAAATCTCTCGGCTATTTAGTTATTATTTTAGAAAATATTTTTGATTAAAACGTGAGATAAAGGTATAAATAATACATTCACCATTCATTTTTTTTACTAATTAAAATCATGAAGCAATAATCTAAGCCTAAATATCAATCATTTTTGGCAGGAATCCTTCCCCCTTTTCCGTATACATATTTTAGTATGAAGCGTGACAGCTTCCGTATTTCGCTTTATATTAGAGAACACGCGTACTTTATCACTGTACAACATCTATCAGCACAGTACCTAAATTCTGACGTGAAATCTATTTGTCTTAACTTTCTGTGGCACTCATAACTGTACACATCTCTTTGACGTTTGGACCTCTTTCCTCATATAACCTGGAGATTAATATAAGATGTTGGTATAATTTTGGTATTAATACTTCAACGTGTCCGACATTACGACAAATTTGTCGTTCGTACCGTTAAATACACTCTGAAATGACGCGTGCGTCACGGCTGGGTGCAAGCGCAAAACCACAGAACACTAATACCCTCGCAAAACTAACTTTTTACCACGATAGGACTTGTTTGCTTTTTAGCAGTTCATCAGCTAAGCACCCCCTCTTACCAATGTGTGCCGCGACACAGCAGCGCTTGCACTGCAGTGTTCCGCTCTGCTGGCTGTAGAGAGCGAATATAACTCCAGGCTGTGCGCCTTTCCGTCTCAGTCCTCATAGGTGACAACGCATCTACACTTTGATTCTTAAACGAGCATTATGAAGATGCCTGAGGGCCACAGCTTGCACTTGTCATCAGGTGGACTGTGTGCTCGTTTATCACACGTATTCTATAAAAAAAATAAGTGTCGCAAAGATACAGTATGAGCGACTATTTCGGGACGACGTATCTTTGTTTTGTTTATTTATACTTTATTGGCCCATGCAAGTCCAACGCCTGACATGCGCCCCTCCCATCGTAGGCAGGATTAGCCTCAAGCGTCACACTTCGCAGAAAGGATTGACATCCGCAATACCAGACATATTGCAATATGACGCTGGTCTGGATATTTTATCCTGGCGTAAATAAGATGGTATTTCTCCGTCATTTGGGAGCTGGAACATTTTCTGATATTCCTATAGTTCTTTTACCCATGGGACGGAAAAAGTTTGGCTTTATTGACACTTGAACTTTTACGATGCTAAAGCATTATTTAAACATACATAACACTCACGCCTATCACCCGGAGGGGTAGGCAGAGACTACGGGCTTTCATTTGACATGATCCTGACACACCTCCCACGCCTCCTTCACTTCCATATACCTACACATACATGGGTACTCTTCATTTTGCCCATCTTCAATATATCACCAATTTGATCGATATATGTACTTCCGTCTAGGGAGTTCCTTGCCGACTCTGCCGTTCACTTCTGCAACATAAATTTGCTTTGTCACTCTTTCCTCATTCTATTTTTCTACATGTGTGAGGGAAAGCCTCACATCGACGGTGAGCTGAAGTGCGAGTTGAACGAAATTGGAGAGGAAATGTAAGGGTGTGCACTTACTTTGAATGCAGATGGGCGGATGATAAATGAATGGTGCTGGGTGGCTGGCACGCTCCTGAGCTGGTTATGCCGTTGAATGTATACACGTACAACTAAAGTCTTATATCATACACTGTCACTTTCACTTTAATGTTTAATTGTTCGTAATGATTATCACTTAGATATATTAGATACCGGCCGGCAATATATACATAATTAATGCGAGCCGATGAGCTGAAGGTCGCGGACGCGCTTTCTTACACCTTTTCTCGAACGAGGGCGGCGCGTGACTCCCTCCCGGGGTTGCGACTGAAGCGATACAGCGCTCGCGCCGAATCAATGAATGAGAGAGAGAAAGCGAATCAGGGAATCAATCGTCGCGCGCGAGTGGCGCGAACATCCTGGGGGGCCCGAGAGAGCACCTCTTCCTGGGCTGAATCCAACGGCAGCCTTGCTATCTTGAGCACAGGTCTGCGCAGATGTCCGTAGGCCGTGTCCAGATCCACAACTCGGATCACTCCATCCTTCCCAGGTATTGTGCGGGTAATTCTTCCCAGTTTCCATTGGAGCGGGGGCAGGTTATCTTCTTTGATGAGTACAAGCTCGCCAACTTGGGGAGGTGAGGAAGGGGGAAGCCATTTGGAGCGGGTCTGTAGGGTATGGAGGTAGGATCTGGTCCACAGTGTCCAAAAGCGTTGAGAAAGAGCTTGTATGAGTTGAAAACGTTTAAGAGCAGATAATGGCCTGTCATCAAAGGACGGCTCGGGCAGAGCTGTGAGCGGACGGCCTATAATAAAATGGCCAGCGATTAAGGGCTGAAGGTCCGACGGGTCGGATGAGAGTGGGCAGAGAGGTCTGGAGTTAAGTACAGCCTCAATTCGTGTCAGAAGTGTGGAAAATTCTTCAAATGTAATGTGTTGTTCACCAATTACCCGATAAAGTAATTGTTTCGTAGATTTAATATTAATTTCATGTAACGCGCCAAACCAGGGCCCCTTTGGGGGGTTCAACAACCAGGTTACGTGCTGGTTGGCTAGTTTGTGTGTGATTGCATCATTATTAGCAGTGAGAAAATTTTGAACTTCTATGAGGTGATTTCTGGAGCCTACATAATTGGTGCCGCAATCTGATCTAATTAGTACCGGCGTACCGCGCCTTGAGATAAATCGTTGTAACGCTGCGAGAAAGGCTTCTGTGGTAAGAGCAGAGACGGCCTCTAAATGAACCGCCTTCGTTGAGAGACACACGAATATACAAAAGTACGCTTTTAAGAGCTTAGCGTTCCGTAATGTGCTAGATTTAATGAGAAACGGGCCGGCAAAGTCAGTCGTGACTTGGCTAAATACAGGTTGAGGGTTAACCCTGTCCGCGGGAAGGTCACCCATTAACGGGGCTTCGGGTTGAGCGCGACATCGGAAACATCTTATACATTTAAACACCCTGCGTCTGATCACGCGGCGAGCGGATAGTATCCAGAATTGCTGGCGTAGAATGGCGTGTAGAGTGTCTGAGCCAGGATGGCAGTATATTTTGTGATAGTGGTCAATGATGAGGTCTACGAGTGGGCTGGAGCTGGGCAGTATGAGTGGATGTTGAGCATCATACCTAATCGAAGCATGAGAGAGACGACCAACGACTCTCAAGAGACCGTCCTTCATAAATGGCGAAAGACGCTGCAGTCGAGCGGTAAAAAGTTTATCTGTTTGAAGACGGTGAAAGTCCTCTGCGAACTCATTTCGTTGAACGGAGCGGACCCAAAATAACAGAGCGTCCCTACGTTCACTAACTGTCAACGGACCAGCGCGTCGTGCCTCTGGACCGCGCTTGCAATTGAAAATGAAACGCCTGATACAAGGCGTCACCCCGACGAGCTTGTCAAATGAGCTGAAACGAGTGAGCAGATCATGGTCAACATCCAGAATCGCTATATGCGCTGGCACCTTTTTCGGTTTAAGGCCTGGTAAAGCATGATGGCCTAACGCAACTAGCATCTTGGGCCAGGTGCTAGGGGGCTCTTTGAGCCAACTGGAAGATCACCAGAGATCATGAGCTGATAGAGATTGTGCTGACATGCCCCTGCTTGCACAGTCTGCAGGGTTGAGATTCGTGGGAACATGTCTCCATATAGTGCTAGTCGGACTAGACGTTATTTTTGACACTCGATTGACCTCGAATGTCTGGAGCCGATGAGGGGGCGTGTTAAGCCAAGCTATAACTATTGTGCTATCCGACCAACAGATATGCTGGTCAATCGCAATATGAGCTGATAATTTAGTGGACATACGAGTCATGAGTTGTGATAAAAGAGCTGCAGCTGATAGTTCCAGTTTAGGAATTGAGAGGCGATTCTTAATAGGCGCGACCTTTGACTTGGCAATGACCAGGTGTACATTGACCTGTCCATTGGCATTGAGCTCATGAAGATAAATGACAGACGCAAATCCAGCTTCTGATGCGTCCGCGAATCCGTGGAGTGAGTAAGTGGATGTCGGCTTATATTTGCAAATGTGACGAGGTAAGCGGAGATTCGAGAGTTGAGGAAGATCTTGTGAAATGTGCTGCCACTCTGTGTAAACTTCATTGCCAGGGGGTTCGTCCCATCCCAGTTTCAGAATCCATAACTTCTGTAAAAGGAGCTTTGCGCGGAAAATGACCGGTGTGACCCAACCGTTGGGGTCATAGAGTGATGCTACTGTGCTGAGAATAGAGCGCTTTGTGATTTGGGTTATTGGAGGGAGAGAGATGCGATAAGTGAACTCATCCGATTGAGGAATCCATTGTATCCCAAGCACTTTAATGGTGTTCGATTCTGGGCTGATGTCAAAGTCCTTAGGCATGTCACATTGGTCGTCTGGAAACCGTTCCAGGAGCTGGGGACAGTTTGAAGTCCATTTACTGAGCTGAAAGCCACCCATGCCAAGCAAATTAATTAACTCGATTTGTAGTACCTGAGCAGACTCCACAGAGTCATGGCCACAGAGTATATCGTCAACGAAGATAGAATTGCGTAGGATCCGAGTAGCTTGTGGGTAACGATTACCTTCGTCATCAGCTAATTGTAGCAGTGTGCGGATGGCATGGTACGGGCTGGACCGTAAACCATACGTGACTGTATTTAGCGCATATGTGAGTAGAGGCTGGTCAGGTGACGACCGCCAGAGAATAAGTTGATACTGTCTTTGGTCTGGATGAATGAGTATGTTTCTGAACATCTTTCTGATGTCAGTACTGAAGACTACAGGGTGTGTTCTAAATGACATAATAATATCGACAATATCCTGTTGGAGAGCTGGACCTGTGTGCAAGCAATCATTTAAACTTACGCCATTTGAGCTTTTACTGCTACCATCAAATACAGTGCGTAGCTTATTTGATCCCGTCTTAAATATGCCATGATGCGGAATATAGCAGTGCGGCCTACCTGCAAAGGTACTTGGGTGACAAGGTGACATGTGTCCCAAGTTGAGATACTCATTCATAAAGTCAACATATTGAGAGCGGAGGGGCGGATTTGCTTGAAGCTTCTTTTCGAGATTGAGAAATCTACGTAACGTAATAGCATGAGTGTTGCCTAAGGTCGGTGCATTTGGTAGAAAAGGCAATGTTACCATATATTTGCCTGATGGTTCTCGAGTTGTTGTGGTGCGGTAAATTTCTTCGCATTGCTCCTCCAAAGGACTGGTCGCTATATGAGGTTGGGGTTCTTCTGACTCCCAGAACCTCTCAAGGCGCTTGCAAATTTCGCGTGTAGTTACGTCGGATTCTGGGTGTGAGCTGATAACGTGAGCTGAAATGGGCTGGTTCGCAGACTTTGCATATAAATCCTCAATAGGTCCTATCAATGCATAATCGAAAATCGTGCCGAAGGCTATAGGCTTCCCCCGGCCTAAAGAAACCTTAGTCCCGTCCAGAACTTGGCCGAGAACGTCGGAACCCAATAAGAGATCGATCGGAGCTGGTGTATGGTAATCTTGATCTGCCAAGGGAATCGGAGGCTCTGCATCTGCTATGCGCGGAACTTTTTGTAATGGCAAATAACCTGTAACATTTTTTAAAATGTGCGCTGTAGCCGTAATCGTAGGTGTGTCATGGTGTGTTGGTCTACACACTACTGTGATTGATGCCTTTGAGTCCTGTGTGTGGTGGTTGCCCACTCCTGCGATTTTTAGAGATGTTTGATTTAGCGGTAAATTCAAAATTCGAGCCATGCGCTGAGTTATAAGTGTGATCATGCTACCACAATCTAACAATGCTCGAGCTGTGTGAAACTGGCCATGTACGTCTGCTATTTTTAGCGAGACGGTGGGCAATAAAATTGGTAAATTGGTAACGTGCTCTTCACGTTGAGCGGAATTGCAAAAATAACTATTCATAGTTGGAGCTGATATCGCAGAGTAAGCTTGTGATGTCTGTGTGTGAGCTGAGTTTGAGTGAGTGTGCTGATTAGTTTCTAGTTCGTAGTGTTCGTTTATTGTAGATAGTCATTGTTGACCACCTACACGAGACCTACTAGGAGAGCGCGAATGACTTGGTTCATTGTTGTGTGGCCTGGGGTTGACATGTGCGGCGTGTGCTGAAAAATGTTGGGGCTCTTGAGCTGAGTGCTGTCTGGGTTGCTCTCTCAAATGCGAGGGTAGAAGATGAGCATTAGAGTGAGTTGGAGAAGGAACATTGGGCCGATGCAATGATGTGTGGTGTGGAGCCGGCTGCGGGGTTTTATAGACGTGCCGACTTGTAGTCGGGTGAATGGGCCGAAATTGATGATGAGCAGGTTGACGAGGCGAAACCTGTGGAGAAGAAGAGGAGGACCGCCTGCGGTATTGGTTGGTCTGTGGGGAGTGCCGACTGGCTTGTGAAGAGTGTGGGCTGGACCACTCGGTCTCCACACAACGCGCGTGCTCTTCCAAGAAGGTGATTAAATTCTTGAGAGTTGACAGAGTCTGACGTGATCCATATTTACGCTCAAAGAGGGTGCGAAGCTCACCCTTAAGCTTTTGTACTACTATCGATACGAAAACGTAGTCACTATCCTTCATGGGCAGATCGAGATTGTTGAGGGCGCATTGCGCAGAAATGAGCGGAGTCAAGAAGAGTGTGCGGATATCAGAGCGCGTATGGATGTGTGGTAGCTCTAGTATAATGTCCACAAACCGGTCGATCAGGACGGTTTTCATATCGTTTGGTCAGAATATACATGGCCACGGCGAAATTCTCGTTGGTGAGCTGAAGATGAGATACCATACTGCGTGCCTCGCCTGATAGGCACGAGAGCAGGTAATGAAGCTTCACAGAATCCGAAATGGTGGTCATGTCATCGGTAAGACTTCTAAAGATGGCTATGAAGGAAGGCAGAACTTCGGCAGAGCAATTTTGGGCAGAACGTGAGCAGGTGTGGCTGACGTGGACGGGTGAGCAGTCTCCGGAAGAGCTGAAGCCACACTTAATTTTTCAAACGCAACTAAGATGTCATTGTAATCTGAAATCGCCTTCTCATAATTCTTTGTATAGGTGGCATCGACCTCATCGGTGAGGTCCTCATCATCCAGGATCTCGTAGAAGACGTCTTGTGTTCCTCTAGCTTGGCGTACCTAGCAGTAAAGTCCGTTATAGTATACTTTTTCGTATCCTTAGCTATTACCGCCAAGGCAATTTCCTTCAGCTGGTTAATTGCCTTTATCGCCTCACGAAAAATGGCCGCTTTAGACTTGGACGGCATTGTATGTAAATTATTATAAAAGAAGAATGAGAGAAAAAAAAATACAATCGAATTGTGAACCTCCTCCTTTTTTGGAAGTCGGCTAAAAAATAAATAAATGCGAGTGTGTGTTGTAAATGTTATAATATGTTACTGAGCAGAACTTAAGATAAGCGCGGAGCAGAGAATGTAAAGTGAGCAGAATATACCTACAACCTAAATTATGTAAAAGTATTTTAAAAGTTAACACTAACAGTAGAATAAACAGGCAATATAATTTTTGCAACGAAAATATTACAATTCAATCGCCGTGTATTAGTCACCAGAACGAAAATAATAATAAAAAACTAATATACGAAATTAATAATAATGCCTATTGAGAAAGAAATAACACGAGTAAGTACATATAATTATTAATATTAATACTATTTACTTATTACCTATTAAATTAAACAACAAAATATTTTTACGCTTGCTTCTTTTCTACAAATGATCGAGACGGGACGGCGAGTCCTTGACCTACCTACGACTCAGCTGATCGTACAATAAAGGGCAGTGTTGAGCCGATTGTTAACACTTTTTCATGAACTTTTAATTATATTATATGTTTAAAAATGATGCAATCAAACACTTTTGTTGAAATACGAGACGTTATTTTGTAACAATTTTACACACTTGTGACTCGATATAATATTATATTCGAAAGCGTTAGCTTAGTACCTACTTAAAGAGAAACAATGTATGGAGATGTGAACTATTTTTTAATAAATGTTAATGTTAAATATGTATTAATGAATTTTAATATATGGGCTGAGATTATATGATTACATACTTAAGAAGTTTTTATCTATTTAAAAGATTTTAATATTTTGTTGAGAGAAATGTGGGTAACTTTATGGGTGTGGTTGGGTTTATTTCCCGGTCTTAGGACACTGTTTATCCATAGGGGCTTATTTCTTATAATCGAAGGACCGTAAAATGAGCAGGGGTCGCTGGTTCAGAGGCTCGAAGGACCAGAAAATGTGAGGGAAAGCCTCACATCGACGGTGAGCTGAAGTGCGGGTTGAACGAAATTGGAGAGGAAATGTAAGGGTGTGCACTTACTTTGAATGCAGATGGGCGGATGATAAATGAATGGTGCTGGGTGGCTGGCACGCTCCTGAGCTGGTTATGCCGTTGAATGTATACACGTACAACTAAAGTCTTATATCATACACTGTCACTTTCACTTTAATGTTTAATTGTTCGTAATGATTATCACTTAGATATATTAGAACGAGGGCAGCGCGTGACTCCCTCCCGGGGTTGCGACTGAAGCGATACAGCGCTCGCGCCGAATCAATGAATGAGAGAGAGAAAGCGAATCAGGGAATCAATCGTCGCGCGCGAGTGGCGCGAACAACATGACCAAGCCACCGAAAATCCTTTCTTAATCCTGGTCACAGTATCATCTTGCAAACCACATTTTTTTCTTATCACTAGAGATGGGCTGAATATTCGTTTCATATTCGCTATTCGGCACCTTTACCGAATATTCGGCGAAATCACCGAACATTCGTTAAAGTGGTACTCTAAGTGTCCACTGTATTGAAAGGTACGAACATGTTTGTCTACATGTCAGATGCGGCCGGTAGACATTTTGACATTTGGCATTTTGAGCTATCTAGCTCACCTTGAATAGTACTTTTAAATTTTTCAAACAGTTGTGGAATCACTGTTTCATCTATATATTTTCGTCTCGGTATTTGATATTTACGCTTTACCAACTGCATGAGCCGATTAAAACGATTATCTATTGCTATCATTTCAGCAATTGAATTCGTAATTGGAAGTGATCAGCCGGGCTATTCACAATCGTCTCGGAAAGCGAAATCGACTCGGATTCGATAACTTCTCGCACCGAAACCAATAAACGCTATTCACATTTAACGTTCGGATAAAGGTCACTTAGATACATCCCATAACTATTGTATCGTCATTTAGTTACATGCATTTACGAATTTTGTAGATAAATAGGCTTTTGTATTTTTTTAGAGTAACAACCTGAACAAAAACATAATGCAATATTTTGGTGTTAGCCATTGATATCGAATATAAAAAATATATAATTTAACTATATAATAAATAACAAAAATTCTGAGATATGTCTCGTTTCACTATATATATATATATACTGCTTTGTAATAGGAAACTTATAAAAACACACCTTTCACAAAAATTCAGCTTTACGATTAAGTGCAAATATTGAAGTAATTATATGAAAATACGTCTTATAGATAATTGTAATTAATTTTCGTTACCTACTGTAACGAACCCCCCCCCCTTCCCCCCCATCTCTTATTTCTTTTCTACTATATATCCACTTATACTTGTATTTCTTTAGAATCTATATCTGTAAGATATATAAATATATCTAATTTACGTGACCAGTATATCTTGATCTTTCTAAAGTTTAAATATAGGCCGTTTAATAAATTTATGGCGTGATCGTCTTAGTTAGGACCCTTTTTTACGTTGTGTTTGTAAAGTAACTAGTTCTTTTAGGTATATCTTGGAAGAATGAATATTCACGAGAGCAATCAAAAGCTGTTGGTAGAGTCTCATAAGCTAAAGAACCCCGTTCACGAAGACAGAGCTCAAAAAGGTTAAGAACAATAAATTGTCCCTATTTCACTTGTATCTGATTCACAACAGTCAATTCCTTATTAATTAATCCCTTCCCGCTTGGAAAAGGCTCACAATATTTATATCAGATACCAGCTACAAGGGCTTCGCTCTCCCACATTTTAAAAAAAAATGTGGAGGAGGTACACGGCCCCACACACGCCGCGCACGGTGAGCGCCAACCATTTTAATGCGCTCCCCCGAAGGGTACGCAAAGTTGGGAACTGGACCGTAGCCCACAGCAAAATAACTGGCGAACCAGTAAAAGAGGACTTGGCCCCTTGATAGTGCGTAAGCACAAACATCGACCGAAGT